AATTAAACTTTAAATTTTTTTATTATAATCTAAAAAGAAATTGTTACTACTACCTATATTCAATGTCCAATGATAAATTCTATTTCTATTACATATATAATTTCAATATTTTGTTTTTGCAAAATAGTCAGGCTTAATTGTTAATGATATTTTGAAATTTTCTTTTCAAACATGACTATCTTAAAAAAGCCACAAAAGTTCCATTGTATCTGACAATATTAATTTGGGAAAATTGGTAGAATTATCCATACCACACACACACACACATAAAGCTATGAATTTGGTTTTTGTGTGCAAACATTTTTCGATTAAGTCGATTTCTACTAACTGCAAAATTAATTACATTTGTCGGCAATAATCATCTGGACTTCATCAGTGTTACAAATTGAAAATACCGACTTTTAATTATGAAACTCGATTAAAATGTCAATTCCAGTTAACACTTCTAATAAACACATCGAACGCCCACACACACACACAAATTCATTCCATTTGCCCAATGCAATTGACAACGTAAAAATTCAATGTTCATTTGTTTTTGGTTAAAAGACCGAACCGCAATAGATTTGTCCACATTCACACAAAGAGATGCATCGTTTTTTTGTTTGTTTGATGATGATCGGGCTGAAGCTGAACGGTTGTAACTCTTTGACCAAAAATGTTCATTGAAATAAACGGCAATTTCATTGATAGGTGAGCGAATGAAATGTTTGATAATTAAATTGCAATTAGTTTTTATTTTCTTTGATTTTATACGGAGTAGGAGGAGAGGAAGAATATTCAATGGAAAAGGATATAGAAATGTGGAAATTGTATTATTTCAAATGACATTATGTGGGCATGTAATGATAAAATGATTAATTTTAAAAGCATAGCGGTATTTTGAAATAGGGCCGCAACGTCTAAATACCTATTCTGGACTTAAATCAACTAAAAGGTCTTAATGAATTATATGAATGAGGTAACCACACATTTTCTGGGTATAATTTACACCAGGCACGGGCAGAGCATAAAAAATTCTGTTCTCACACACTTGTCTTTGTGTGTGTGTCAATGGTTTTTCAATGGGTTCAGTTGAATGTGTGTGAGAGAATAGTGATACTTACTCTCGCGAGAGTGCACGCGTGCGGTGCTTCGCCCGACATTGATTTACACCCTTTTCTAAATCGGACGATCATAGGGGAGCTACGAGGGCTCCATAATATATTTACGGCATAATAAAGAAATATATAAAATATTTCTAACTTTTTATATACTTGAGGGAGACATTCAAAGTATCTAAAATCGATTGGTACTTCATACCAGGCTATTGGCACTCATCTTGGAAAATTGGTCTAGAACCTTGAACATACCGATAATGACACGAATTGTAAATGTTCTATAAAGAAGTTATTTACCCACCAAATTCCCGGAATGCCAAATACAGCCACTTCGTAATGCTAAATCATCTTCACTTCGGTTGGAAAATGCGCAGAGAACCATCTGGTCCTTTGTATGGGGCTATAGTCAATGATCGACCTATAATTGAAATTCCGTAATTACAGCAATTTGCAATACCATATATTTATCGAGGAATTGCAAGTTGGATATACACTCCACCCAACTTTCGAAACATTTTTATACCCTTCGCCACTCTGTGGTACAGGTTATTATGTCTTTGTGCATATGTTTGTAACAGGCAAAAGGAATCGAGATAGACACATGGGCCCGGTAGTACAAAATGAACAAATTCGCTGTTGCAAACATAAATTTAATGTGAAAAAAAATCTTTTCGGTGGGGGGGGGGGGGGGGGGGGGGGGGGGGGGGAGGCGGGCCCGGGTCCCCCGGGCCGCCCCCCGATTTAAGGTAAATTTTGCACAACGTATGAAATTGAGACTTGAACGGCGTTATTGGGCTTTACTGAAATTTGTGCAGATGCAGCCATAGTTTCTATATGTATTTCTAACGGGTGTCTGATTGAGATTAAAATTTTAACTGTGCGGCGTACCGAACAGCTTGTATCAATTTCGCTTTAAATCGTTTTCCATAAATTTGTCCCATAGTACGCACCCGACTTTAAATCTGCCCGAATGAAGGTAAATTTATCATAGGTTGCAGAAAGACGTGAGTATGTTCCTTCGAAGGAACTTTGACATACAATTGTAAGGATACATATGTACAATATACCCAAGTGGTGAAGGGTATCATATAGTCGGCCCAGTCTTTACTACATTCCTTACTGGTTTTAATTCGGATTTAGGCAATTCCAAAACATGGTTTTGAACATTTAAACAGAAACATTTGGCGGGAAAAAATCGCAAGCATTTTTTCTCGATGTGCAGGCACAAAAAATTAGTACTGAGTGCCAAATCAGGGTTGTATAGCAAATGGTTCCTCAGTTCCACGTTTCAGGCTGTCAAAAAGGCGTTGGTATAAGCCGACATTCATTACCATGTTTCATAATGATTTGTTTTTTCGAATTTCTGCAAAGACTTCAACGAAACAACTTGTGATGTACCTTTCAGAATTGGCTGTCCGGCGATGCTCAAACAAAACAGTCACTACATGACCAGTTTTGTGGAAAAAACTGACAATAATGTACTATGAGGTGCTTCTGTCACAAAGAGCTTTTGGTAGATTTGGCACATTTTCGGAGAGCTGCATAATCGATTGCTGTTTTTTTTCGAGTTCAACAGACAGATCGATGGTTTGTCACCTAAAATAAACATAGATCTATGAAACATTGCGTATTTTTATATCCTTCGCCGCACTGTGGTACAGGGTCTTTGTGCCTCTCTGTGTAACAGGCTAAAGGAAACGAGATAGACCCAATGATCCCTTTGGACAATAAGCATCGAATCACTTTCTGAGTCGATTTATGTATGTCAGTCTTATCCAAAGGAGATTAATTTTAACCCAGCTTATTCATTTGGCCCAAGGAAAAACAATATTTCTTGTTATACGATTATTTTCTCTAATTTAAATAGGGTTCTTCCTTGGGCCTTAGTTCTTCTTTATGTAATGTCTGCACCAATCTCCCAAAGTTTCTTTCCTACTGAGAAGAAATTTAGCATATCGCATGGAAATTAGTCTAGATAGATAGAGATAGTGTGTGTTAAGTTTCATTGAAATCGGATGAGATGCACCAAAGACCCAAAATTTAGCCGATTGTCACACAATTTTGCAAACCGTACTAAAGTTAGTATAAGCTAATCTCTGGCAAGTTTTGTTGAAATCTGCTCAAAATTTAGATATAGCTCCCGCATCATCCGATTTTAAGTAAATGGGGCACCAAAGACTCAAGATTAGGCCGATTTGCAAAAAAATTTACACAACGTACTGCAGTTTGTATGTTGTGTAAGCTAAGGTGTGTCAAGTTTTGTTGAAATCGGTTCAGATTTACATATAGCTTCCATATATATTTCCGTCCGATTTTAGGCAAATGATGCATGAAACTCCTCATTTTTGGCCGATTGACTCGAAAATTTTGCAAAACGTATCAAATTGAGACAGGAACCAGTGAGCGGAGCAGTATAGTCGGACGGAGCCGACCATACGATACCCTACACAACTACCACGGAACTCTAACTTTCTGCGTATATTTATTTCGAGTCTGGGCAATATTTCGTGATATTTGCAACCTCTTGACCGATTAGAGATCAACAGCAGCTCTTCCTTACACTGACATATTTTCCGAATATTCTCAATATTCAGTACAGGACTTCTAATTAATTGTCCAGATAGACTTCACCGTGGGTTTTCTTGTGATGTTCGGCTTGTGGCCTATAGATCGATTCGAAAAAAATACATATAATTATGTTTTAGTTCCTCTTCATCCCAAAGTTTTATGTGACCATAACCATAACATAACTTGACCATAACTGGAACCTTTTGGAAAATTTTAAAGTGTTCAGCGCTATATTTCTGCCCTCTAATGTAAATGGGTTACTAAATAATATCTGAATACGTATAAATATTTAAGTTTAACTCCCACATCCGAGTACATACGACATTGGTATCAATTTAAAGGTCAACCACTCCTCTTGGATATACTGTCAACTTTTCGGGTCTATGTCCTTCAGGAGTAATAGAATACCAATTTTGTCATTTTCGTGAAGATTGGTCCATAACTGTGGCCTGTATCAGAGTTACAAATTATAATGGAGAGACGAGCGGACGGACGGACACACATGTCTAGATCGACTCAGCTAGTCGAGGTATGACGATCGGTATACTTAAAGGTGGGTCTAGGACCAATATTTCGCGGCATTATAAAGACTTGGGCCTGCACAAAGCTATAATACCCTGACAACATAGTAGTGTAAGGGCATAATGACGTTTTTGCTTTTTGTTGAAATTGCTGCACCTTACCGAATTTGTTAGGGTGTATCTGTTGAATATACCCAAAGTGACTATATTTTAGGATTACGAAGGGGTTTTTATTCCGTGACCTTGTTGGGTAAACAATACCTTCAAAGATCATTATCAATATATGTCCATATCCGTTATGCTCCATAGCTCAACGTTGCTTATGATGTTGAACCAGAATATTCTGCATAAGATCCTGAGGCATATGTTGAAAATATTATGCAAATTTTGAAAAAAAGTCGGTAACCCTCTTCGTGAGATATCATGCACTCCATCCACCCAGACACATAAACATACATTTCTAAAGCGACTCGAAATTTTCCTAAAAACGGATATAAATCATCAACCAACAGTATCCTGATGCTTAATACCTAAATAAAAATCTGTTTCCGATAATTTTCCCACAACAAAAACAACATCTCCGGCATATATTTATTAATAAAACAAAAATCAATAAAGCAATTTACACACAATGATAAAAAGGAGAAGACATCCCAGCCCAACAAATTCAATGGAGCGTGCATTTCAGGACATTTAATTAATAATTTTACAGAATTTATCCTATAAAACAAAAACAACAACCATATCCATAAATAATTGTCAAACATTTCACGTTCTTTTATTTTTTCTTCTCCCCTATCCTCACAAACAGCTAACAATGTCTGGTGTTACTACCTGCCTCCGTTTCCCCGGTCAATTAAATGCTGATCTGCGTAAACTGGCCGTGAACATGGTACCATTCCCACGTTTGCACTTCTTTATGCCTGGCTTTGCTCCCCTTACGGCCAAGGGCTGCCAACAGTATCGTGCTCTGACTGTAAGCGAACTTACCGCCCAAATGTTCGATGCCAAGAATATGATGACCGCTTGTGATCCCAGACATGGACGTTATTTGACTGTGGCTTGCATCTTCCGTGGTAAGTAAATTGCAAATGTGTGTGAATGTGACTGTGATTTTACATATCTGTGTGTGTACGGAGACAATTTTAATAATTCCGAAAAACCAAGATTTTTATCATTACATGTTCTTTACGAATTTTCCTTCATCCTATCATTTAACTTGAAACACTTACACATACACAGAAATGCAGTGTAAATACAAATATTTATGTAAACCATTGTAGATGTGTCGCTATGTTTGTGTTTGTGCACATATTTCTTAGTATTTACTGCTTCTGCTCTTGTAATTAATCCTTTTTGATTAATGATATGTCCTGATGTTCGCCTCTTCTACTGATGCTGATTAAATATGTCTTGTATTCCTTTGACGCATACACGATTACTCGTTTCCTTTGGTTTTTCCTTCTTGTCTCTGGCCTTTTGCTTTTCTGCTCCTTTACGAAAATTCACACTTAAACCAAGATTAAGTGGACGGACATACGTATTGTTAAAGTGATTTGTAATAATGTATTTGTAAATATTGTATAAGACACGTTAAGGCCTTATTAATTCTTCAGGTAATTAATGTTTTGAAGAACAAAGGAAATGAATGGAATTCTGAATGCCGACACCATTCAGAATTAAATGATGAAAAATTACAAGTAAGAAGAATGTTATTACATATAGAAAGGGAATGAAATTTATTATTATTTTAAAGCCAGGATAAGTTTATTTAAATGCTAAAACTGTACACAAATGGAACAGAATAAGACGGAAAACTTGAAAGACAACCCTCATATGAATTGAGCTTATTTTCCTATATTTGAATCTACTATTGTGGAAATGTTCGGAATATGAAATGTAGTTCGACATTATATAAAGTATAATCCTGCAAAAACTTTGAAATTTATCAAAATTGTCAGTATCGAGCTTCGGGAAAAAGTAAATTAATGGTGTTCAAAAATCGGGGTTTTGGATGGAAACGGATTTCGCTTAAATGAGATTTGCGTTTTCTTCCTTTCATAATCGATTAACATACTTTTTATCCTCCATTATGTAGAGAGTATATTTTGTTTGTTTTTTTTAAAGGTTAGAGGAATATTTTCAGTATATAACATTTTAATTCTCAGTATATGCCCGTGTTTTGCCATATAATCCATGTAATTGTCCCGCCCATGTTCAGCCTTATGGCTAATGAGGGTATAATATCGGTCAACCTTGGGGTATATCACGTATATATGCATAGGTCGAGCCCCATCTAAGGTATTTTTATTATCCTAGGAACAATTTTCAATCAAAGTGACTTTATTTTAGGATTACGAAGGGGGTTTAATTTGTCATTCCGTGATCTTGGTGGGTAAACAACATCTTCAAAGATCATTATCAATATATATCCATGTCCGTTATGCTCCACAGCTCAACGTTTCTTATGATGTTGAACCAGAATATTCTGCATATGATCCTGAGACATATGTTGCAAATATTATGTAAATTTTGAAAAAAGTCCACCCAGACACATAAACATACATACGTGTTTTGTCATATAATCCATGTAATTGTCCCGCCCATGTTTAGTCTTATGGCCTGGTGAGCAAGAAAACTCTCGAAACGAGTAACCGATTTCATCCAAACTTTGTACATCGTAATATTTCTTCCAAACTTAGTTCAAGATGAGGAATATCTTTCTTCTAAACATTAAATTTATAATATTATGCGAGCAGACTATGCGATTTTAACCTAACTTTGCACAATCTATTATCTTTATCAAGCCGAAGTTGGGACCCATCGGTCCTCTCCTTCTGGTACTTCCCCACATAGAGTCAAAAATTTCAATATTTATAAATCCAATATCAGACGAATGGAATGTCCGCTTTGAGCCAAACTTTACACAACCTGTTATCTTTACCAAGCCCAGATCAAGTCCGCAGATGGGACCCATTGGATCACTCCTTCTGGTACCACCCCACAAAGGGTAAACATTTTTCAATATTTATAAATCCAATATCAAGCGAATGGAATGTCCGATTTGAGCCAAATTTTGCACAACCTATTATTTTTACCAAGCCTAAATCAAGTCCAAATTTGGGACCTTTCGGTCCTCTCCTTCTGGTACCTCCCTCCACTGACTGACACTTTTTTACTTGTATACCCTTCACAACACTGTGGTATTATATCTTTGTGCATATGTTTGTAACAGGCAAAAGGAAACGAGATAGACACATGGTTCCATATGAGAATATGCATAGAATCACTTTCTAAGTCGATTTATGCATGTCCATCCTTCCGTCCATGTTAAATTGTAAAAAAAGTACAGGTCGCATTTATGATCCGAATTGGATGAAATTTGGTACAGGACGAACCCTATTGAAATTGGGAAAAATCGGTTCATACTTAGATATAGCTCGTCCGATTTAATGTAAATGGTGCACCAAAGTCCCTAGATATCCTTCGATTTGGACGAAGTTTGGCACAGCGTACTAAATTGGGCCTACAATGATGTGTGTAAAATATCTTTAAAACCAGTTCAGGTTTAGATATAGCTCTCATATATATTTTCGACCGATTTAATGTAAATGATTGACAAAAGTCCCTATATATCTTTCGATTTGAGCGAAATTTGGCATAGCGTACTGGATTGAGTCTAGAATGATGTGTGTAAAATTTCTTGAAAATCGGGTCAGATTTAGATATAACTCCGATATATATTTTCGCCGATTTAATGTAAATGGTGTACCAAAGGCCCTATATATCTTTCGATACGCACGAACTGAATTGAGTCTAGAATGATGTTCGTAAATTTTTCTGAAAATCGGTTCATATTTATATATACCTTCCATATCTATTTTCATCCGATTTTAAGTAAGTGGTGCACTCATGTTTGTAATTTTGACATGAAATTTGAACAGAACATAAAATTGAGCATAGAATGACGTAATTACGTTTTGTAGAAGTTCAGATATAGTCCATATATATTTCCGACCGAGTTAGTGTTAATTGGGCTCCAACTATTCAACGGGTGCCCGATTGATATTTGCTTTAAATTAATTTACATAATTTTGTCCCTCTGTGCCAAACGAATGGCATGTCAGCAATTCACCTTTGCATAGTTCTATCTCTATTTTTTTAATAATATATTTCTATGAACTCTCTACATCAAAAATGCCCCAAGTCGATATTTCGATTTTTGAAATTACAGGAGTAATATGATAGGTATACTCTTGTAACTCCACCCCAAATAGTAAAATATCTGATGACATAAGATTTTACTAATTCTCTATATAATGAACCCACCCGATATTAAGTTTTCCAACAGTTTTGACCAACATCGAATATTTATAATCTTTAACGTTAAAAATATCCAACTTTCATTTTACCACATTTATTCAATTATTAAAGTACTAAAATATGACACCAAAAATATGTTTCCTGTCTATCATCCCCCTCGTCCCATTTTTGTTTGCAAATAACGGGGTTTACAATACCCATCATCATTGTCAAAAAGAAAACAAAAAGCTGTTGCAGGCGTCGCTGGCTTGACAGCCAAAAATGCCAACAGATCATTAATCAAACGCCATGTAAAAAGCGAACGAAACAAAATACTTTAGCAGGTCTGTTAACAAATATTTTTCTGGTCTGCCATTTTTTCGGATGTGTCAAGCCTCTCCGGGGAAAAGCTAAATTCCTTATGTCGCACGTCTCACCTGGCAAAATGTCTGAGCTGTTATTAAGTGGGCTTATTAACGTATTACTTACTTGACAGCAACAACAATCAACCCTTGGGTGGCGGTAGTAACGAGTGTGGTGGATGGGTTTTGAAGGGGGATGCTTGGGAACAGTGGGGAATAAATGGAAGTGAATAAAAATGAAAAATAGGAAATGAATAAGACGAGGAGGGAAAAAAGAATAAGAATGCAGAATGAGGTGAGCATTTTAAAAAACTAACATCGGTCGGGATATATATAGGCAGGGGCGAAAAAATCAAAAGACAATTTAATTTTTATAATCTGCAACTTATACTCCCTAAATTGGACCTATATTTTAAATGTTTGGTGAAATAGCTTTCTACCCCTGAAGAGACCTAAATGCCAAATGACAGCCATGTCGTTTGGGAAAATGTGCATAGATCCTTGGAAGCACCTAAAATTAGTCAAAAAATTAGCATGGAGGCTATAACAAAATATGAACCAATACTGACTATTTCTTGGGAAGTAGTTTTTACCCACATTGAGATATTCTATCCATAGAAGGCCTATATGGGTCTTCTATCCATATAAGACCTTTAGAGATATTCTATCCATAGATGTCTTCTTTCAACAGGTGGTCTTCTATCTGTTGTGTGAAATTGATTGGGCGCCGTTTGCAGTTGTAGATTCTATCCAGAAAAGACCTATTGAGGTCTTCTATTCATGGAAGACCTATAAAGGTCTTCTATCCATAGAAGACCTATAGAGGTCCATAGAATACCTGTAGAGGTCTTCTATCCATAGAAGACCTGTAGAGGTCTTCAATCCATAGAAGATCTGTAGAGGTCTTCTATCCATAGAAGACCTGTAGAGGTCTTCTATCCATAGAAGACCTGTAGAGGTCTTCAATCCATAGAAGATCTGTAGAGGTCGTCTATCCATAGAAGACCTGTAGAGGTCTTCTATCCATAGAAGACCTGTAGAGGTCTTCTATCCATAGAAGACCTGTAGAGGTCTTCTATCCATAGAAGACCTGTAGAGGTCTTCCATAGAAGACCTATCCATAGAAGACCTGTAGAGGTCTTCTATCCATAGAAGACCTGTAGAGGTCTTCTATCCGTAGAAGACCTGTAGAGGTCTTCTATCCATAGAAGACCTGTAGAGGTCTTCTATCCATTTAAGACCTGTAGAGGCCTTCTATCCATAGAAGACCTGTAGAGGTCTTCTATCCATAGAAGACCTGTAGAGGTCTTCTATCCATAGAAGACCTGTAGAGGTCTTCTATCCATATAAGACCTGTAGAGGCCTTCTATCCATAGAAGACCTGTAGAGGTCTTCTATCCATAGAAGACCTG